CAGCAGTCTGGCCACATGGTGATGAATTCTTTGGCCATAGCAGCCCCTTCCAAAAGTCAGAAGAGAAAGATACCTATGGAGGTGGAGGTGGGGAGGTTAGAGGTTGAGGAGGGGAAACCATGAGGAAATCCTCCAAAGTCATTTCCATACTCAAATGTATCTATGATCTCACAGATTCAGGAGCTACCTCTACTGATACAGCTCACAGTCTCTACATTATCTACCCATGTCCCTCTTATCCATGTCCTCCCACAAATTAACTATAGAATGCCCACCCAACATGGTGGAGATCCTGTCTCACATTCCCCTAACATCTGGAAAAGTGCCTCTGACCATTCTTCTGTCATCCTTCACTCTTGACACACAACCAACCTAGCTTCTCCTTCTATCACACAATTCCTCAGTGAAATCATTTACTTCTGGTCTTTGCAGTGTGTCATAGTTGCAGCAGCCTACTCATATTGCTATAGGCCCTTTCCATTACCCTCTGGGCAATGCTCACCTTTGGTTCTTTGGTGCCAGTGGAGTCCTAGATCTTGCTCTCTGGCCATGGTCACTCCTTCTAACAGTTGGAGGGGGAAAGTAACAGACAGGGATCCTTCCAAAGTCCTTTTCATCTTCCATTTTAATTAAGGGGAGAGGGGAGGTTATTAGGGGGTGGGATTGAAGTAAAAGCAAACAAACTTCAGCATGCTCTGAGCAGGAAGGGGGGGGTGGGGGCAGGGAGAGGTAGAGAAAAGCCTTCTGTCTGTAACACAGTTGGACAAGTCCCCCACATTGCCTTTCAGGTGACTTCTGAGTCCTCCCTGCTCTTTTCCCAACACAATATACTTCTCAAAAGGAAAAACATAACCTTCAATCGGTTAATCAAACAGGACACTTTAATGAAAAGTCACAAGAGATCACTAAATCTGGCAGATATAGTAATAAACTATGCCATCTACCAAAACTAACCCATACCCATTGCCATCTTCTTCAACACAGAGCAGGAAAAACCAGCTCTTCAGTGAATAGGCTATACCAATTTTGGTCAAGTCCCTCTTTCCTATCAGTAAAAAAACACATCCAAACTCAGAAAAGTTCTCTTCACACACGCAGTTTCTACATGTGCGTGCTCACACATGCATGTGCACACACACACACACACACACACACACACAGAGTTGGGTAAACCATGGCTCCTATTTCCATATATTTTGATCTATTTTTCTGGACTTTGGCCACTTTTGCAGATTTAGGGACCACAAAAGAGATGATAAGACAGATGTGGGTCAAATCTCAGATTATTTATTTAGCAACAATGATCTCACATGAGCAAGAGTAACAGATTAAGTTTTGTCCCTGAACAGGCTTCATGTCCCCCAGTGTGTCCAGAGCAGCATCGTGTTCACAGCAGGTATTTGGTCACTGAGAGATGATCTCATTTCATTCCATCTGTTTCATTCTCTGTGAATTGTACTGCTACAAGCATTCAAATCCCTCCCTTGTGTATTTTCAGGCCCCTGTATATATCTGACCTTAAAATGTCTCTCTCTTAATGACTAAGTCCAAATTCCTTCACCTAGCATATCATCTTCACCACTGTCATCATCATCAACAACATTTTCCATTAGTCTCCAACCCACCTTTCCAGCCTTTTCTCCCACTACTCCCTCTTATTCTATGTTGCAGCTTAATTAAACAACTCACAATTCTAAGAACTTGTCTCACTTTCCCCTACTTTCATCCCTTTGCTGATATCCTGCTCTTGTAATGCCCTCCCCACCATCACTACCACCATCTCTATTGGTTGTTAAAGGTCTTTGCCTCCTTCAAGACTGAGCCTAGTCATATTCTCCACAAAACCCCCGATCCACCACCACCACCACCACCCAAAAAAAAACAAAAAACAAAAAAACCCTGGGAATAATCTCTCCTCTAATCTCTACCATCACTTTGTGTTTTTTCTAGACCCTTCCTGCATTCTCTAGTTTGGGTTATAGGTTTCCTCTACTAGACTGTATGATTCTTGAGGGCAAAGACTAAGTCTCATTTTTCTCTCCTATGACCAAGCACAATACTTTGCTTTAACACAATACAGGTGTTAAATTAATGTTTGTTAAATTTGAATTTATTCAGTGTTCTCTAGACTATACTTTGGACCCTAGAAGGGAGCCACTCCCATAACTAGTCTTGAAGAGACAAATTCCGTCCTGACCTCCATGCCCCCGAGTTCCCATTGGCAAAAATTATTTTTGGCTCAGTCACAGTGACTTTCCAAATCTATTACACATTAGTTCCCTTCACATACACTATAGTCCAACCAAACCTGCCTTACAATTCCTCTTATATACTACTCTATCTCTTATCTTTGTGCCTTTTCATAGTCTATCCCTCCAGGCCTAGGGTACACTCACTTTTCACTTTTGCCCCTCAGAATTCCTCCTTTCCTTCAAAACTCAGCTCAAGCACTCCCTTCTACATGAAACCTTTCCTGATGTCCTCAGCTACTAGTCCCTTGTACAAAATTATCTTGAATCTATTTTGTATATGATTAAATATGTACATGTGGTCTCCCCCAAATAGATTGTGAGCTCCTCAAGGATAGGAACTGTTCTACTTTTGTCTTCGCATCCCTAAAACCCAGCATTGGCACACAGTAGGCACTCAATAAATGCTTGCTGATTGATTAATATTGATGAAAATCCGTTGAGATAAAAATTCCGTATCTTTTTTACACAAATTATTGTTTAGTCATAGTTATCCTAATCCTGAATTTGTGTAGTAGGTTTTTTTGAGCTCATAATTTGTGAAGGGAATGAAGAAGGAAGGTAAAGGGAAGCCTTAATGTACTGTCTCAGATTTTACCTTCACCCAAACCAGGAGTACAGACCTCAGTTTCTCAGGCCAGAGAGAAATCTTTACCTAATTTTGCCTAATTCGTAGTTTTGCTCATGACCAGGAATGTCAAGAAGTAGATAGCCCCAGCTCCCTGGCCAGGTGTTTCCCATATTTCTCTCCACCCTGGGCGGTCCAGCCCAGCACCAAAGGATGGTATCTCTCTATGCCAGAGCAAGAGGAAAGATTCCTGGTATGTGGGAGCCATTCTCTCGGGACACAAAAGTCAGAGAAGCCTGTCCAAGAAAACCTCGAGGCAAGAATGCGGACACTCTCCCACTCAGGGCTGAGCACATTAGGATTATGGTCCAGGCTTCAACACAACCAGATCTTTGTGGGTTGGAAAAGATGCACAACAAAGGCAATCTGGGCTCTCTCTCTACTTCATTAAACTCCAGAGTCATTTAAAATTTATGAATCTCAAAGATATGAGGTTTATGGTGTTCAACATACCCAGAATTAACAGACCAGAGACACTCAGGGTAGGAGACTAGGGCACCTCTGTGTAGAGAAGTGTGACAAAACTGTCACCGCCAGATCTGCAATCACCCAGCTTCTGACCGAGAGACCAAAGGGGCTCTGAAAACCCAACCAGCCTCAGGCCTGGGATTTAGCCTGCTGCCCACTTTCGGTTTCTACTAATTGCCTAACAGATATTTCCAGGCTGCTAGCAAGTGACATTTAAGATGCCGAGGCTCTGGGATTTAGACTGGACCCGCCATTTCTGTCAACCCTTCTGGACTACCAGGAAATACCTGCCTCCTCCCCCCAACAATCAGTCACACAGTTCCAAGGGATTTGTTGCCTGGGTTCTACTCTACATGAGGAAGGAGCAAAGAGTGATGGAGAGGAGTGAGGAAAAGTCAGACAAACTGTCTCTGTCAACAGCATTCTCTCTCTCTCTCTCTCTCTCTCTCTCTCTCTCTCTCTCTCTCTCTGTCTCTCTGTCTCTCTCTCCCTCTCCCTCTAGCTCTCCCTCCTCCTCCTCCTCCTTCCTTCCTCTTTCTCTCTCCCTTCCTTCCTGTCTCCCTCCTCCCCCCCTCACTACCCTCCCCTCAATGTGCATGCCACCCAAACAGGCCATTTTGTAGCGGTGATAGAGGGTTATCATAGGACCACTTTAACATAAAGGCCCCCAGTATTTAACTGTGCCCCCAGAAGATATACTCAGCACTGGGAGAAGATGAGCGGTGCGAGTGGGCAGTGCCAAACAATGTGCCAGAGTTCCCCTGTTGTACCCAGAGAAGATACATCCTCACAAACGCTTGACTCTGGAAGACTCCACCACTTTGAGCTAGTCTTTCTGTCTAGTAATGAGATATACCCTGATTTTGGGGTTCCCCTTTGTGCTGTCCCTGTCATTTTTTTCTTACTCTATAAGGTAAAGCAATTCAGCTTGTTCTCTATTATTCCACAGGCTGAGACAGGACCAGTGGGTAGAAGTTACAGAAAAACAGATTTGGGCCCAATACAAGGAAGATGCCATATGGTATATAGTGAACAGAAGGTTGGCCTCAGCACCAAGAACACCTGGGTTTAAGCCTCACCTCTAGTACACACTGGTTAAGCTACCTTAGGCAATCACTCAACCCCTCAGTTTCCTAGAAAAGTCTCCAAGAGTATATACTGCAATCTATTGTTATAAATTTATAAATGCTATGTGGTACAAATTGCAGAGCGGGTGTTGATCTGCACAGGTAGAAGAAGATTCCATATGAGGAGTTTCCTGAAACACATCTGGCCCAAGCTGGACAGGAGCTTCCTAATACAGCTGTCCAGAAACAGAATGGACTAAGCACTCTTGAGGTAATGAGGCCACCATCATTGGAAGTTTCTAAGCAGAGTCTGGCTGCATTAACCAACTATCAGAGACATAAAGAGGAGTCTCACTAGGGTAGAAAGTTGAACTGGATCTAAGATCTCTAAGATCTTCTATAGCTTGGTCATTCTGTTTCTAAAGGCCAAAAATTTTAATTTTCCTTTAATATTCTCTGGGGCCCTACACATAATGAACTTGATAAAGACATCTCCAAGGATCTGTGTGGAGCCTAGTGGAAATCTTAGAGAATCTATTTATTTAATACAGAAGAGGAAATTCCAGGAAGAATCCCAAAGCAGGGTCATAGAGGAGGAATGCAAAGGACTCCTCTGATGGGGTCTCCAAGAAGTGCTCAAAGATCTGTGACTTCCTTACTGATCACAATTTCTCTGTTCATGACTGAAGAAGTCTTCTCTAGGCTTTTCCCTGTGGTATAGAAAGTTTGAAGGGCGCTTTGGTATATATAGAGCTACCTCTCCCCCATTCCATTCACCCTTTAGGCCCTCCTTCTGTTTTTCATGTCCCTGGCCCAATCGTACAGGGTGTAGTGCATACTCATGTACCATATTTGGGTTGCTAGAATTCTATTATTCATCCAAAGCTTCTGAGAAACTAAGATTTACTCAGTGTTTACTAAGCCTGATTCCTGCTAGAAATTAGGGCACAAATGCAGAAATGCAAATATTGACTTAGAACTTTAAGGGAAAGCAAGAAATTCTTGCTTAAGCAGAGAAAAACAGCTGGGAATAGAAGGCTGAGCAGAAATATGGATATTAATTTTCTCCATGTTACTCCTCTTGCCAAAGACCAAAGTCCAGCTTTTAATCAAAGTATCCATATGTCATTGTCTTCCCTTAATGAGGAGCTAAGTAGTACCGTGAGAGACTGCTGGAATTAGAGCCAGAGGACTGGGTTTAAAGCCCAGTTCTCACTTGCTATCTGTGTGACCGTGGGCAAGTCTCTTAACTCCTCTGGGTCCCAGTTTGTTTACCTATAAAATAAAGGGGTTGGACTAGATCCCTTCCAGATCAAAATCTATGACCGTGTGATTGTTAGAAATAGGGCGAAGAACTGCACCTCCAATTTCATTGGCATAGGGAACTCCCAGGTGAGGAAATTCCCTCTACCAACAGAGGTTAACACCTTCTCTGTAAATTAGAGTAAGAGAAAGTTGCTTAGAATACTGAGTGGTTAACTTAGGGCAAGAAGCAACTTGCCCAGGGTCACTCCCCAACATGTTGTTAACAGAAACAAAACCAAAAAATTCCTCATTAGAAACAACCTTTCTCTATCACTCACCTAGATTAAATGAAGGAGAAGGGAACTATTCAGAATTAAAAGTGGTATAAAATCACAAGACTCTTATTGTTCAGTCGTGTCTGACTCTTCATGACCCCATTTAGAGTTTTCTTGGCAGAGATACTTGAGTGGTGTGACATTATCTTCTCCAATTCATTTTACAGATGAAGAAACTGAGTCAAACCAGTGACTTGCCCAGGGTCACACAGTTAGTAAATGTCTGAGGCCAGATTTGAACTCATGTAGATGAGCCTTCCTAACTCTAGGCTCAGCACTCTATCCACTGTACTACCTAGCTGCCCTCAAAAACACAAGATATCAATATTCTTAGAAGAAGAAGAAGAAGAAGAAGAAGAAGAAGAAGGAGAAGAAGAAGAAGAAGAAGAAGAAGAAGAAGAAGTAGAAACTACCTTTCTCTGTCTCAAAGGAAGTATTTTTCAGAGGAACTACTTTGTCATTTGCATGCCAAGCCGTGTCAAACTAAGTCCTGCTGCTGCATTGGTGACTATAGAACTATCAGGTAAGGTCAGTCAGGATCCCCAAGAGGAATACTGGATTGTTAGAGATCCTTGTGTAATTGATTCTCCAATATTTAAAATATGAAGTTGAAACTCTGTTCTGAAACCAGGGCAAACTCACCTCAATGTTTTCCTGGGAACAAGCATCTGCAGAAATAAAAGCAAATACATACGAGTTATAAGATAGACATGGAAAACAACCTCCAAGCTAAGGGTTTGTTCATTGGCCACAAGCTCCATTCCCACTGCTTTAAGACTAGGCTGTGACAAAACCAGGCACTTCTTGGAATGCACCACCCAATAGGTGAAACCTCCCAGGCATCTCCAGATCAAGCTCAAGCTTCCTTTGGATATGTCCAAGTGAATGGTATAAGAAAGAGCTTGTCCAGAGATGTTCTCCAAGCCAGCACCAGCTTGCCTAGTTTTCCCAGGTCAATGGCTGCTCCCCAGAGAAAGCGGGACCAGTGTCATCACTGAGAATTTATGCCACTAGGGTAAACTTCCAAGAGATGGAGAAAAGAGACATGGTACCATAAGGTACCATAATGGGAAGGGACATGTAATGTTAAAGCTGTCTGTGGCAATACTGCTACACTCTCCAAAATAAATAACCTTTCTGTCTTCAAACAGAGCCAACAGCCGCCTGCCTGGGTCATACAAAAATGACCCATAGCGGGTCTTAATAAATAATTGTTGGCTTATTGATTGTTTGATAAAACATGGATGAATTCTCGGGTCTGGGAGGCAGAAGATAGAAGACAGAATGCTGGATCCAGAGAAGGAGCTCTGAACTTTTTTTGTGTCTTGGACCCCTTTGACAGCCTGATGAAGCCTATGTACCCCTTCTCTGTTTTTAAATGCATAAAACAGAGTACAGAGGATTACGAAGAAAACATATCATATTGAAATATAGTTACCAAAATAAGTTTAAAATAAGTTTACAGATGATCACTTGACCCTGAGTCAGAAAGACCTGGGTTCAAATGTCACCTCTGACAGTAGCTGTGTGACCATGGACAAATCATTTAACTTGCCTGAGCCTCAGCTTCCTGATCTGAAATAGAGGAGATAATAACTGTAGCATCCGCCACACCAGGCTTGTCATGTGATTCATTTGGAACAATGTGTGTAGAGTGTTTCACAAACTTGAAAGTACCATGTAAATGTCAATGATTGTTATTACAGGAAGAATTATCCAACAATGCAATCTGTTTGCCTTGCAAGATAGTGAGCTGTCTCTGGAGATGTGCAAGCAGAGTCTAAATGCTCACCTTCCAGGGACATTGTAGAGGTGATTCCTGCAGCAGAAGTTCTAAGGCCAGAGTAGATAACCTCTGAGGTCCTTTCTAACACAAATTCTATGGTTCTAAAGGGAAGAATTGTCTCAGGCCAGGACTCTCCACAAAATAACCTCAATGAGTATATCTCTTAAGTTGCAGTTCTCAAAGCATGGTGCACAGATTCAAGACCCTTTCAGCAAGTCTCTGAGACCCTTCATGTGTGTGCAAGGTCAAAACTATTTTCATAATAATACTAAGACATCAATTACCTATTAAAATACTTCTCTTTTTTCCAACTGTCTGTCTATATGAGGCCAGGTTTTCTTTAGAGACTTAACATAATGGAACAGAGTGAATACAGAAGCAGATACAAGAATGCAGCTGCCTTTTATTAAGCCAGCCATTAGAGATATTTACAAAAATATGTTTTAAAAATGCATTCCTTCTCACTAATTTCTTTTTTGTTTTGGAAAATAAAGTTAGTTTCCATAAAATAGGTTATTTATGTTAACATAATGGGTTTATTATTGTTTTAAATAAATTCACAAATATTTTAAAATTTTATCTGATTTAATTTCTTATATAGTAAATATCAATAGATATAACTCAGATAAATTAAAACTCTTTGGGGTCCTCAATAATTTTTACCATTGTAAAGGAGTTCCAAGACCAAAAAGTTTCAGAACCATTGCTCTAAAGAAAGCTATGGAATCTTACTGAGGCAGCTTGGAAAATTTCTTGCTGAGCTGCACCTAGTGTAGTGATACTGTCTACACTACCTTAGTTGTTTCACTGAGTAAGAGCCTACCCCATCCCCAACATATACATGTGCCACGGGATGGGCAAGCCTTTTTATCAGCTTCAAGGAAGGAAATGGTGATGGAAACACCTTCCAAAGCTACCTGACTTGGAGAACAAGGACATCATGTCATCCTCAAGCCCCACAATAGGATAGAAATCCTGGAATGCTCTCAGAGCCTTGGCACTCACATCCTGGGTCCGACCTGCGGGCAGAGAAAAGATGAACGTAAGAGGATTAGAGAATCACAGATTTAGAGCTAGAAGGACCTATGAAGACTTCTAACCCAATGCTCTCATTTTACAGATGAGAAACTGAGGCCCAGAGAAATCATTTGACTTGCCCAAAGTCACACAGACAGCAAGTCGCAGAGCTAGGATTTGAACAAAAGTCCTTTGACTCCAAATCCAGCACTCTTTTTGCTATAATGTACAAAGGGATCTGGGTTACCAGAGAGGGAAAAAAGCGACAGGAAGATTAGGTTTCCTAATAGACATTGGATCCAGAACTTTAAAAGTCCAAGCAAGGATTCCTTCAGAACCTTCAGTGGTGTCTCCTTCCCCCTCCTTCCAAGTTGAGATCAGATTCCTGGAAGCCCCCAACTTCAACATCAAATGCCTTCAGTGCCTTCCAAGCTGGGGAAGGACAATCATGGAAGATTTTTCCAGGGAATAGCCCCTACCCCATTTCCCTTGAAGGAGTACAGCTTCCCTGTCCCCTCTCCCCCCCCCCAATCCCCCCCCCCCAAGACTTGATGCTCACATACTGAATAACTGCACCATGGTGCTTAGTACCCCATCCAGCTCTTTGTAGATGTACAGGATGCCGTAGGATGTGTAATCAGTCTCAGCCACACGCACATCCAGGTAGCCATTAACTAGAAAGGAAGATCTGGTGAGATGTGAGACCAATCTAGAAACCTAAAAACAAAGCCCGGCTTGCCTATATCCAGGACCATCAGAAATGCCTTCATAATGATAGTAAGTAGCAAAGAACTAGAAACAAAGTAGGTGCCGCCCAGTTGGAGAATGTCTAAACAAGTTGTGGCACACAAATGTAATGGAATATTACCATACTTTAAGAAACAATAACTCATGAACACAGAAAAGCATAGGAAGACTTATATGAAGTGATGCAAAATTAAGTTAGCAAGGAGGGCCAAGAAAACAACATATATGTGTGATATGTGTGTGTGTGTGTGTGTGTGTGTGTGTGTGTGTAAAATGACAACAATGTAAATGGGAAGAACAACTGCACAACTGAATGCTGAAGAACTGTAATGACCAAGTTTGGGCCCAAGAAAGAAATATGAAAAAGTAACTTCCCTTGATTCTTTGCAGAGATGGGGAAATATAACAGCTAATAATAATAATTGTTAACATTTATATTGCACTGACTCTGTGCTAAGTACTTTACAATTATTATTTCATTTGATCCTCATGACAACCCTGCAAGGTAGGTGTTATTACTATCCCCACTTTGCAGATGGGGCAATTGAAGCCAGCAAAAATTAAATAACTTGCACAAAGCTAGCAAGTGCCTGAGGCCAGATATGAACTCAGATCTTCCTGACTCCAAGTCCTCTTGGATCATCCACAAATCCACTCTTGCTCTCAAGGATCATAAAGCTGTAGGATGCCTGAGAGATCATCTAATTCAACCCCTCTCATTTTTCAGAGGAAGAAACTGAGACCCAGGGAGGTTTGAGTGACTTGCCCAAAATCAAATAGGTCACGTGTCAGAGTCAGGATTTGAACTCAAACTTCTAACTTCAGTGTCCTCTTTGGTTCTTCCCTCTTCCTTTCTGCTTCCTCTGTAGCCAATTAGTTGCCAAGTCCTGTGAACCCTACTTCCACTTTATCCCTCCCATCCATTCCCTCCAATTATCCGATTATTAGTTCAGACTTTTATCTCTCTTTGCCTAGACAACTATTACAGCCTCCTAAAGGGTCTTCCTGCTTCCATGCTTCTATTCTTCCATTTTTCTAGCCTCTCTCTAATTTATCCTTCATACTACTACCCATATAATCTCCTTAATGAAATACACTAATCCTGTTAGTTCTCTGTTCAAAAAACTTTAGTGGATCCCCATTGCCTTTCAAATAAAACATAAATTGGGGGGCACCTAGGTGGCACAGTGGATAGAGCACCGGCCCTGGAGTCAGGAGGACCTGAGTTCAAATCTGGCCTCAAACACATAACACTCACTAGCTGTGTGACCCTGGGCAAGTCACTTAACCCCAATTGCCTCACCAAAAAAAAAAAAAGGGATTTTCTATTTATGGGGCAGCTAGGTGGCACAGTGGATAGAGACCGACCCTGGATTCAGGAGGACCTGAGTTCAAATCCAGCCTCAGACACATAACACTTACTAGCTGTGTGACCCCGGGGAAGTCACTTAACCCCATTGCCTAACCCAAAAAAAAACAAAAACAAATAAAGCATAAATTCCTAATCCTGGTATTCAGTCCTCCCCACCCTCCAGAATCTAACTCAGCTTTCCAGGTTTATCTCACACTACCCCTCTTTCATTGTATTCCATACCCTAGCCAAAGGAGAATACTCTCCATCCCCTCTTTTTACCCTGGCCCTCTCCCATCTCTATGCTTTTTTCACTCTCTCCTCCATCTCTCTACCATCTGTGTGACTTTAGACTAATCACTTAACCTTTGGGGAACCTCAGTTTTTTCGTATGTAAAATGAGATAGGTTATACTAGATAATCTTTGAAGTCCCTTCAACTCAAATCTATGAACTATGTATGAACTTGCCTCAAATGGACTCCCTTTCTCCCCCTTCCTAGCCTGTCGAAATCCCTCCTTTCCTTCAAGGCCTAACTTACATGCTTGGTACTCCATGAAGTCTTCTCTAAACCCACTGCTTACCAGGCCAAAGTGATCTCTCCCTCCTCAAATTTCTTCTTAGCACATTATTAGGAAAGACCTCTTCCCCACCCTTGTCACAGTCTCCTTTGTAGCATAACTATTTATGTATAAATCTTTTGCTGTCATCTCCCACCCTCCAGCCCAGGTAGTTTGTAATGTACTTGAAGGCAAGGACTGAGTCATATCTATCTTTGTAACCTAAGTGCACTGCCTTGTATATAGTAAGTGCTTAATAAATGTTTGTTGAATTCAATTTATTTAAAAGCTAGGCCAGAACCAGATTGCAGAGGGTCTGGAATGTCAGACTAAAGAGTTTAAATTTTACTCAATAGAAATTAGGACTCACTAAAAGTTTGATTGTTTGTTTTTTGGGGGGAGGGTGATGCAATTGGGGTTAAGTGACTTGCCCAGAGTCACACAGCTAGTGAGCGTTATGTGTCTGAGGCCGAATTTGAACTCAGGTCCTCCTGACTAGAGGGCCAGTGCTCTATCCACTGCGCCACCTAGCTGCCCCTCACTAAAAGTTTTTGAGCAGCCAAATAATGTTGTCACAAAAATATTCTGTTTAAACTGTCACTGCCACTTGCTGCCCTGTATGACCTTTGGCAAGTAACAAACTTTTTTAATCCTCAGTTTCTTTATGTGAAAAATAAGGAAGTTGGACTAGATTACTTGTCAGGCCCTTCCAACTCTGTATCTATAATCCTATGGATTAGGAAGATTAAATAAGCATGGAAGTGAACCATAGATTGCAGTCATGAAAGACTAGAAATGAGAATACAAGTTAGGAAATTACTGCAGAAATCCAAACTAGAGTCAATGAAAACTGGGGAGAGGGTGTTGACAGTGGGAATGGAAAAGAAAGGATGGAGTAAGAAATATTGCAGAAATATAATTTACAGTACTTGGCAAATCACTGAATGTGGAAAAGACCAAGGAAAGGATAACTGGAAAATGGTGGCAAGTTAGTCACTTCTGGGGAGGTTTCCCTTTTTGGACCTTCCATTTCTCTGGTCTTCCCTACAGGACCTTCTATGAGACAGAATAAAGGAAAAACATTTGGATGGTGAAAGGAAGGAAGGGATTGGGGTCCAGCCTAGAGATAAGGTGCAGGTGGCCATTGCCTGTTTTGCTGCAGTGGAAAAACAAGGACAGCCATCTGTTGATCACATGGAGGAAGGTGGGGAGGGAAGCAGCTGGTACCCTTCAGACCCAATCCAACCTACCAGGTACTTTGTAGTGACCTTCTGACCCTATCTTCATATACTCTGCATCCATTGTCTTACAGCCATCAGCCCTAGGAGATCAACAGGGATAGAAATCATATAGTTTAAAAATCCTTAGCTGTCCTCAGAAGGGGAGTTTTCCTCAGAGCTGACAGAATCCCCTGAAAACAGATGATCCATCAACCAAGGCAACAGTATACATCTTTCCCATCATCTTATCACCGCTATACCTAGCACTCTGTCTCTGTGGTAGACCCAGTTAACCACGCCACAAAAGGAGGTCCCTGTCCAAATCACCCCCTTCATCTCTGCAGGGTGTTATTGTGTGCCCTATGGAAAAAAAAAGTAAGGAAATCCTGCCTGTCACCACCCACCTTTTATTTTCTACTACCCTGAAGTCTACAGCTAATTTCATCAGAAAAAAAAATCACTTAGTTGCAATAGTCACATTCTACATACCTCTTTAAGACTTTTCTTCCCCACTCTCAGGTACAACCTTTGCATTGACCCCTGCCGGGTCTGACCTCCTAGACTTGTGTTCCATCTCCCTGCAGACCAGACTCCTTCGTCTTCTAAGGAGATCATGCCCAGCTCCACTGATTCCCCAACCCCTTCCTGTACCTCTCTGAGCCTAGTCCCAGGACTCTTGCTAAACCACTTCCCCTGCTTCCCCACTGGAAAATTAGTTTCACTCCTGGAACCACTCTGAGTTTTGATAGACTAGCCAACTTTGACTTTATCTTGCTCAGTTTTAAGTCTCCACAGCACTTTCTGGACATCTCCAGTCATGCTCCCAAGGCTAAACACCCTACCTCCTTTCTTCTTCCTCCATTCTTTCTTTTCCACTCCTACTGTCAATGCCCTCTCTCTGGTTCTCATTGACTCTAGTTTGGATTTTTGCAGTAATTTCCTAACTTGTATTCTCACTTCTAGTCTTTCCTGACTCCAATCTATACTTCACTTCCTTGCTTATTTAATTACTTATTTAAATTACTATGTGTTGTCTTACCCAATAAAAACAAAGCAGAATCAGTGACTCTGATAGAAACAAAGTCAGAGACTGTCTCACTTGCTTTTATTTGTATCTCCAGCATTTAGCACAGTGCCTGGCACATAGCAAGTGCTTAATATGTGCTTTATCTATCCATCCATCCATCTATCTATCTAATAGCCCAGGGCAAAGGAAAGAGTGAAGGGAGAGGGTTAAGGAAATAAATCATGCTCACCAAGGTAAGGCCATGTGGACATTAAGGTTGCCATGCTCTGTGGCATTTATTAATCTTGTTGACATCAATATATTTTCCTTCTTGCCAAGGAAGACCTTGCAATCTGACACCATGGAAATGACATACCACAAGCCTGAAAACTGGGGAGAACAGTTAATGGGCAAGACATTCTGCTTGTCCTTCCTTCTGTCCTTTATCTATTCAGGGTACCCAGGTGGATAAAGAGTTCAGTGAAACTGAATGACTTGCAGGGACAGGTCACACAGTCAGTCTGTATCTATCTGTCTCCTGTGTTTGAGTTTATAATGGACCAGAAGGAAAGGAGAGATTGAATAATAGCTTCCAAAAATGGCCTTGGGCCCCCTTGCTTCCTGTATAAGGCTAGTTTGGGCATCCCAGCCCTAATAACGATTGAAAACACAAGGGGAAAAGGAAAGAATGCTGATGGAGTGTGTAGCAATGGCCCATAGGACAGCCTAACCAAGAGTACAGTCTCACCAGGACAGGCACAATCTGACTCCTACTCTTGCAAAGGTTGATTGTAAAAATGGACTCTGACAGAGAGGTACTACAATGATAGAAACCTATGAGGGAGCTGACCCAAGGGTGTATGTGACTGTAAGGTGAGATTTGGGAACAATAGCTACCATAGGTAGGAAGTGCCCTCCATGTCAGCACCTTGGCGCAAAGTCCTATTCACCCTACTCTAGTTACAGCTTTACTTATAGGAGAGATTTTTTAAATTACTAAGCATAACTGAGACTTGCCTAGAAAGTAGTTGTTAGACTCCTAATGACCCTCAGTATCACCTGTCAAGAAGGACTTTAAAAGTTCAGTATCATAGTTAAGAGTAGGTGAAGAGGATATAAGACTACCAGGGGACAGTCTATCGGAAACACTAAATGAACAGATAAAGAGATGGATCATAAAAAATCATAGGTCGTTTGTAGGGAGGTGGTCAAGAAAATGTCTGAGCTTAGGGGAAACTATAAATAGAAAGTGTTTCACTGGGCATTTGATCTCTGAAAGGATTAGACTCTCCATGAGCATTGAATACCCCTTCTACACCACCATCCCCAGCAAAAGAAACAAAAAAGCATGACCATTACCTGTTTGGCATCAAAGTCTGGCTGTACGAGGACATCTGCCTGCACCAGGGACATACAGATCAATCCCAGAAGGGAGCTCAGCAGGATGGCCTTCATTTTCCTTGATTTCTGCTCTGTTCACTTCAGAAACCAATAATGTCTCAAAGGGGTGGATGGTCCCAGAACTTATACCCCAGGAGTGACCACCACATATCCAGTTAGTCTAGTTTCATTCAGTGGAACTGATTGTTTAAGATCTGAGCTAATAACATCCTGCCTGTCTAGGGCATTAACTTCCTGAGTTTGATAGGCCTGACTCTGTCCATTGTACCATACAATTGAACAAGTGTTTTCTAATCTTGCTTTTCATCATTTTTTTTTTTTACCAATTTTTGATCAGGGTTTTATACCTAGTACATGCTTGCCCTTTCATTAATATGGAGAAGTACAGCCAAGGTCTGTCCTGGAAATCAGTGGTTGGGGTCCCTTGAGTCTCATTCCTGAGAAGCCTAATCAAGCATTTTCATTCACCCTTTGAAACTTATTGGGGGCCAAAGTTCTAAAAATCCTTTTGGTTTTCTTTTGGAAGTTGTTGATAATTCAGTTGGCTTTGGGATTCCAGTGTATCTTCCAGATGTTTGGGATTGGTTAGCGTACCTTGTGTTCTCTTTTCCCTTGAATGTGGTGGTCCCAGTGTATGATCCCATTGCAACTTTGTGAATTGTGTTGGACAGTTCCAAAGATAGTGTTTCCTAAATTTAGGGAGATATTTGCAGGTGATATGACCAAAGATATATCCTAAAGCGCTATTGACCTTCAGAGGCAGATGTTGGTTTTAGAGGAATAAAATCCCCTTTCTTTTATGATTCTCTTCTACCCTAGAGCTGTTATCCAGGTGACTATTATCTCTTTCTGTCTTTCATACATGCCCTACTCTATTATCCATACACACTCCCATAGAGCTCTCCATGCACTTCTCTATCCTGCCCTTCAAACATTGTCCATCTAGGCTCTTATCAATATAGGGAACTCTCTGATCAGTAAATTCCTCTATCAATGCAGATCAGTATTTTCTCTGCAATTTATAGTCCTAGAGAATTACCTAGGACACTGAGAAGTTAAGTGACTTGACCAGATTCACACACCCAGAATGTATCAGAGACAAAATATAAACCCAGGTTTTCCTGGCTTCAAAACCAGCTTTCTACCCACTCTTCCACCCTGCATCTTCCTGTCTAACTCTGTCCTTCCAGCATTATCCATATTTGCCCTTTATATAGTCACCAGAAGAGAGTCACCAGTGCATAGATGTGACTCCTATCTAAATTAACCACCCCCTCAGCAAAGGTGCCAAGGGGAAAAGAGAAGGCAATTCATTCTCCTGCCTTAAAAGTAGTTCATTTCCTGAGCTGCTGCATAGGATTACACAGCTCACTTATCACTGTTTACGTAATTGAATAGACTCCAGGAAAGTATACAGATGAACAGTCATAATAAGCACCAAGCATATGCCCAGAAAAGCAGGTGGGAAAAGGCTCCAGAACAGCCAAAAACTGAACCTTGAAGCAAAGAAGCTTAGGGATGCCACCTGCCCTTAGTGAAATCATGTCAAAAAAAAAAAAAATACTTCTGAGCAAGGTTGAGTGCTGTGTGCAAAACTCTGAGTTTAGGAGAGAATCTATTTGGCTCCTCAGACTCCAGAGAAAAGTTTTCTCCAGTCTACAATCCAGCCATTGTAATATCTGGAGCTCCTGCCCCTGACCAACTATTTTCAACCTTAAAGCACGTGAAAAGAAAAAGTATGATTTAAAAGGATAGCCAAAAGTACCATCACAGGGCGTTGGACTGGGAGTCAGGAAGATCTGAGTTCAAATCCTACTTCCAACTCTTACTAGCTGAGTGACCCTGAGTAAGTCACCTAACCTCTTTGTGCCTCAATTTCTTCACCAGTAAAATGAAGGTGGACAGCTAGTTCACACATTGGATAGAGTGCTTGGCCTGGATCAGGAAGACTCATCTTCCTGAGTTCAAATCTAGCCTTAGACATTTACTAGCAGGTTGACCCTGGGCAAGTCACTCAACCCTGTTTGCTTCAGTTTCGCCGTCTATAAAATGAGCTGGAGAAGCAAATGGCAAACCACTCCAGTATCTTTGCCAAGAAAACGCTCAATGGGGTCATGAAGAGCCAGACACAACTGCAACAACTGAAAAACAGCCCAAAAAATGAGGGTATTATACTCAATGGCCTCTAGCATCTTTTCCAGCTCTAAATTTATGATCTTATGGTCCCAGGATATTGCATTTCCACTAATGGATTCCTTAAGAGAGCAATCTATCCTCTCTATGAGAAAATTAACACAAGAAATAAAAAAGAGCAAGATCCTAGGAAAGATCTGTTACTAAGACTGCACTAGAAACATTTCCCTCCACCTGCCCCAGGAACAGACAGGCAAGCTCAGAAGCGAAACAATACAAGGCCACGAGGTGGCAGCACGAACACCGACTAAGCTTGGAATCTGTGAAAAGTGTACTTGGTGCTTCCAAACTAAGTGAACTCTTGAAGCAGAGTTTTTTCCCCTCTGTCTCTACTGGGGCTCCCAAGCTCATAATGCAAAACACCTGAGATTTCTCTGGGTTTGCAACACTTGTTTGGAAATTGCTTGAGACACTAAAAGAAGGGGTTGGGCGAGATGACTTTTTACATCCCCCAAGTTCTCAATCCATGATACTCTGGTTCCAGATTGTCTGTCTACCTCATGGCATTTCTGGGATTGAAAAGATTCTCTTCCCCTCTATAGACTGAGCAGGAAGTGGTAGAAAACATAGAAAGGGGAGACCGGAGCAAGACATTTTGTTCAGTCATTTCTGACCCCATTTGGGGTTTTTTTGGCAAAGATGCTGGAGTGATTTGTCATTTCCTTATCCAGCTCATTTTAACAGATGAGGAAACTGAGGTAAACAGGGTTAAGTGACTTAGCCAGAGTCACACAGCTAGTATGATCCTATGGTCCCAGGATATTGCATGTCGAGGCCAGATTTGAACTTAGAAAGATGAGTCTTCCTGACTCCATACCCAGCACTCATGCCACTGCACCATCTAGCTGGCCCAGAGTAAGACATATCCTCCTCTACAGTTTCTGAGATCCCTTCCAGCTCCAGTCTAGGATCCTATGATCATATTAGAGAAGGTTCCAAGATCCAGAAGGGGGCAGAAAAGAACCAGAAAAGGCAGGAGGAGGGCAGCAGATGCCCACATGCAAAGAGAGATCTGTTTGTAGAGACTATCCCATAGATACTTCTATTCCTCCAGCCCCTTGACTTAAGTTTGTCACCACTCTGCAAACTCTAAGCAATAAGGGGGCGGATGTGATGACTGACCAAGAAAGCAGGGATGGAAGCAACTCTTCCATTGACTGTGCCATCACTTCTCCAGCTTCCAAATGGGCAAAAGGATGAAAGGAAATGGGGACCCAATATTAAACTGGGCATTGAATCATCAAGTGAGGTACCCAACTCTAAATGGATGCTTAAGGTAGTTGGCAGCCTGAGGGGAAAGAATGGAGAGTTGTGACTGATTATCCCAGAGAACCCTGGGACACTGGTACCAATGGCAGAAGTCCCAGGATATTGACAGCTATGGTTGACCTGTCTAGGAAGTAGTGGAGAGAGAAGAGGAAGGTTCACAACTATGGGTCAATGGCCTCTGATCCCTAATCATCTGCAGGCCCCATCCTGCCATTCAATTCAACAAAAATGTAGTAGATCCAGGGATGTGCTGGAGTCAACTCATACTAGTTCCAGAAAGCCAATCGTTAAATTTTCAGTGTGAGCATTTAAACCTAGGTAAATGCTACAAACTAGGCCTTGATGTGTTTTGCTAATTGCCTAGGTTTAAGAAAGTGCTGGAGAAAATGTTAATAATGCAAATTAAACTTAAATGTGTGTCTTGGGTGCACTTTTTTTCTTCTGAGAGCTGTTTGTTAAAGCATTTACTAGCGCGCTCCTGATAGTGATTCCTCCTACATTAAGATGAGAGGCAGTGTGAAGTAGTGGATAAAAAGGGAGCGTGGGATTCAGGTGGAGCTGGGTTCAAATCCTACCTCTGACACATATTGACTGATACATATCCAAGTCCCCTAATCTCTCACTGCCCCAACGCAACTCTCAAAGACAGAAATTCTGAACCCTGTCCTCAGGGAATCTGTGAATATGGATGGGGAGGTGGGGAGAGGCAGGGGAAAACATCTTTATTTTCCCTAACCTCTAGCTGAAATTTAGCATTTCTTTCAATTATTTAAAAACATTATTCTGAGAAGAGGTCCATAGGCTTCGTCAAATTGCCCAAGGAGACTATGACACACATAAAAGTTAAGAGCCCCAATTTTTTAAGACTGTAAGTTACAGGTCATTTACTGATAATGCGTTAATAGAAGGCATCTTCTTCATCATGTTCCCTTCACAACTGAAATCACAAGTCCAAAATCACAAGCACATGACCAAAAACCATGTGCAAAACCCTGTTCCAGTCCTTTAGTGTACAAAGACAAAAAAGGAATTGGTCCTTACTCTCAGGGCGTTTACATTCTACTGGAGAGAAAGGCTTGTACAACAACAAACAAATGAATGAATGAGTAGATAAATAGATAAATTAATTAAATGGATGAATAAGTGAATGAATAAATGAATGAATAAAGGAAGGAATAGATAGATTAGATAGATAAATACATGAATAAATAAACAAATGAATAATGAATAAAGGAATGAATGGATTAGATAAATAAATACTTGAATGAACAAATGAATAAATGGATGAATAAATAAATAAATGCAGACTCTATAAATTATTGCCTCTTTTTGCATATTCTCATTTTATTTGCCAAAAGAGGACAAAAAAAGGACATTCTTGCGAGAAAAGCACCCTAACAGAGTTCAGAAAACCTGAGAAAGACCTGTTTCAAAGCAGCTCAAAGGCACAAGTACTGACTGAATTGACTGAAGAATCCACATTTCTTCCTATCCCTCCCTGTGCCCCTGTCCCTGCTTGGCCTTGGCGCTGTGGCCAGGATCTATCCAGTGACTGGGAATACCAGGTAGTCGAAAAGTTTCCAGTCAAGCAATGGTGGAACAGGAGCCCAAG